CATTGCTTTTCACATGTCTAATAAAAACCGAACTGAAAATCAAATACTTCTGAACAGCCAGAAAAGGAAGAAAACTGGCTAAAGTAGAGTCACGACAGTGTGTTCCGAGGAGATGATGAGTTTTACTAACATCAGTGTAGATCAGAAGTGTTCAACTTGTTTTTTTCTTCTTTAGGCCCACTAGTGTTACTTGAGCTCCTCAGCTATCAGCTATCTTTATGAGACTTAAGAATTTATTTCATGTCCTAATTAATATTTTTGATCAATCTGGGGAATGTGGATATTTACTTTTGGTATCTAAATCACAGGAAACGCACACAATGTAAAGCTGATTAAAAAAATGCCCACACACCTTTAGTTATTACCCAGATATATTCGTTCTGCCAATCTAGGGAATCTATAATGCAAATGAAGTCTTAAAACAAATTCTCAAGTACTGCCTAAGACCAGACACCAAAAGATGCCTGCCATTAAGCATGAAAAGCCACTTTTGGGCTTCTCTGATTTTAGTTTGACCTTTAGCTTATAGGAAATCATGTTATGAGGTCAGTGACTTCTCCAGTCCTAGCCAGGCAAATGACAAAGGCCACTAATGGAAGCCCCCATATTTTTCTTATGGCTGGTATACTTTAAGCCCTGCTACTGCCATTTCAATGTTCAATGAGACCATTATGTAGCCGGATTCACATTTCAATGCTGTGGTAATGCATGCAACGTATGTTGCACTACCATTCTTTTTGAATAGCACCTAAATGTACCTGCCGGAACGCACAGTAGTGAGTTGGGTCAAGTGCAATTTTAGCACATTAGGGTGCCCAACAGTGTGTCTTAATGCACTGCAAAGGTGTAAATGGGACTTTAGCAAGGGCACTCTTATTGGGCATAGGTATGGAAGTTGGTGGACCTTAGCCAGGAAGTAAGGCCCCAGTAGCAAAATAAAAACTAAGTCAGTGGGTGCACACACAAAAAAAAAAGCTTTTCAGGCTAGTAACGGTGGAACACGCGTCTGCAGTGTTTTGCTCTTAGAAAGGACTTTTCAGTACAACCTTATGTAAAGATGCACTCTGGCCTGCTGCCGGCCCCGTTCCAGCCAGGCACACCTCAGTAAAGCTGGCCATACACCTTACAATTATCTGCAGATTTTCTGTGGTCAGATGGAAAAAGTGCAACAGATTGGCCCAGGTGGAGATTCCTCCATCCACACAGTTAAGTTTAGATGTAGGAATCTGTTGCACCTTTTCCATCTGACCACAGAAAATCTGCAGATAATTGTAAGGTGTATGGCCAGCTTAATAAAGACATTGGGTAGCAGCTCTGTCTTTGGAGGTGGAAGCAGATTAAGCACCTTAGGTTTGAGGGCCTACGGGGTGCTCTGAAGATAAAGTATTTACTGTCACTATTAGGGGCCTGAACAGTATGAAATTCAGTATTCACTTTAAATCAAGTAAGAGCAGATATAATAACCTTTCCTGTAGTTAGTGATAGCAGCAAGGTAATGTTGACTTGCTATTACAGAGCAAAACAGGTTAACTGAAAAAGAGGAACCCGGGGGGGGGGGGGCAAACCCTCA